CTTCTACTATGCTATGAGATAGGAGGGAATGCATTTACCTTTCAGACTAGCTAGGATTTTCCTTTTAACTCTTTCACCAGCTGGTTTACTTGTGTCCTAGACCTCCTCCAGTAGAACTTAGTGTCTGATGGAAAGCAGTACAGCAAACCACAACTATAAGGTAGCCAATTTTCATCTGTCTTTGCAGACAGTTCTGCCAATTTATAGAGCAGTAAAACATTTGTGATTGTCCAGCGGCTTCTGGTTGTGGCTGTGATTTTAGGAGACCTGGTACCAGTTATAAAATGCTGCAGCCACATCATGCAAAGCACTAAATCAGGCCACTAAAGCTGTGTTCAGACTTTGTGCCTATTGCTCATGTTTATCTGCTCAGCTTTATGCTGGGTCAGCTGTCTCCTGACCTTTCAAAGCAGCTGCACAAATCAGTATGGAAAATCTAACGTGTTTTGGGTAACATCTTTGTATGGTGGCCATGGCTCAGGTGATAGAAATTTGAGATCCAGTTGGAATTTAGAAAGTTTGGTTTGAGTTTGTCCAATAAGGAAGTATATAGAGCTGCTTCCATCCTAAAGCTTCTGGGGAAAAAAAAAAAAAATTGCATCTTTCTTACACTTTGGAAAAACGGTAATTTTCACAGTTCAGAGGCAGTGTGACAATGGTGGAGGCTGAGGTCCAGAGTAAGCCTCTTCCAAAGGGTTAACCTCTACCTCTGCTTATTACAAATGTGGGGGGATGAGTTTTACAGTATGGACAATATATTCTGAACACAGCATTGCTTCCCAGTTGTGGTGCTGCCAGTCTGACAGCACCTGACAAATTGTTGTCTCTTCTAATGGATGTTGGTTTGTTTTTGTTTTTGTTTTTTTTTTTTTTTTAAAAAAAAAAACAAACAAACAAAACAAAAAACTGAAAAGCCCCAACAACCTGTTGCCTCACCCAACCACATTGAAATCTGGAGGTCAGATTGGTTTTGATTTCCCCAATCTTTGCTTTGCCAAGCTCTAGATTAAAATGTTAAAGGCCCTCAAATGCCATCACAGCAAATCTGATTATTTTTTTTTTTTTTCATTTGTCATTTGTAGTTGTTACTGCGTATTCTCAGACTAAAAGGTATGGAATATTTTTAGTGTGGTTCAGCCAAAGCCTACATCGAACGATGTTGCTTTTAAAGAAAACAATACAGGCAAGAGGAAAGACGTATATATTACAATCGCCTTTTTATGGGGTTCATTGTCCATTTTTCCTTTCCATGTTAATAAGCTCTTTGTGTATATCTGTATTTTCTGTCCTGCCCAAGTTAACTCTTGCATCTAGTAAGAGATGAGTTTTCAAATTTTTTTCTAGACAGATTTGCATGCAGTTTGGTACTGAGTGAAATAGAAGCTTTTTGTGCAGCCTGTCTTGGTATATGGGCAGATTTTTATGTAGGAAAACCTTTGTTGTATACTTCAGGGAATGGTTTTATTTGTGGTGGAGGTTCCAGACTAACGACCTGCAGGCAGAAAAAGAAAAGCATGTTTAATTACAGTCTTGCATTGTACAACTCCATATCTGTTTTTTATCTTTTTTTCTTTCAGTGAACTTTTAAGTGCATTGTGACTTCTTCAAATAAAATAAAAGCTCCCTTTGTAAAAGAGAAAATGTCATGTTAATAGTCATGAAAATGCAAAGTGTAACAACTACCACGTTGTGTCGAATCAGATGCTTCTGTAGCTCAGTGTCCTGTCCCGACGGTACCAAGTCTGGAAGATGTGTGTTGCAGAAGACAAATGTGTCGAAGATGCAGAGTGGCCTTTCCCCAGCTAGAAGGGTTTTCCTCTTGTGAACTTGCAGCTGGACTATCCGCTGCAGTAGGCTATTTGTCTAGTTACTAATCTTATCTAAAGCATTGTAAACCCATGTCAGCTTTTGGCCTTCCTGGGGTAATCATGTATGAGCAGTGAAGATAATTTGGTGTAGAAAGAGATGAATGTTAATCAGTATCCTGGTGCAAGTTTCACTTCTAGCCTTTCCATTTGATCCAAGGCAGCAGATAATTCATTGTACTGTGTGTACCTAGCAGATGTTGAATGAATTTTATCTCTTTTTACATGACTTTTCAGCTTCTGATCAGTTAGATTTGTTAGAGGGCTATAAAGTGGGTGAGTCATCTTGTTCAGTTACGCTCTGTTGGTGGGATAAGAGGTCTGATCAAGAAGAAAGAGATCTGTCAGATAACCTGGTCTCCTGCTGTCTAAAGACTTCTGTTTCATTTTGACACTTCTGATTGCAGAATAAAAGTATTCAGAAAATCTCTGATTGTCATCTGTGCCATTAAGTGCAAGTTTAATTCTGGAGTAGAAGCAAGAAGAGTTTGCAAATTTGTTCTCATTTTCCATGGACACACATATGTGTAGTGTTTGTGTGCATGTATATGTGTGTACACAGACACACACTCCCTCTTGTAGGAAAAGTAGCAGATGAGGCTATTTTTGCCTCTTAATTTGGTGTTGATTGTTTGTCATCATCTCAGAAACCTCATCCAAATACTGTTGTTTAGCTATTGTGTTGGAGGTCTCAAGAATTAATACAAGGCACAGTTTATTTGCGTGCTTTCCTGATGTAATTCTCAAGAACAATTCCTGAGGAATTATCATATCTTCTTTGAGAAGATAGCAGTCTTACTGTTTTGCAATGCGAAGTAAAATAGGATTATGTGGTCTTTTCTTTTGCATCAGTGGAGATGCTAGTAAATGCTAACTAAGAAGCTTATCGTGCCAGAATACCTTAAATCAGATCTCCTGAATGGCAGGTTTCCTGCTGGTGTGACTCTTACACTGGTGTTTTACAGGCATGGCTGCATTTGTTAGGGAGGTATAATTCTGCCCTTTTCCTTTCCAATCTGAGATGATAAAGCTGCCAGACTAAACTACGCCTGTCTCCATCACTAATTTTCTTGGAGAATAAAATATGCCTACATTGACAGAAAAAGGCAAATTCTTCTATTTTCTTTTTTTTTTTTTTTTCTTGTGTGCTTGAAAAAAAACCCCACCCTTGTGCTTCTGCAGTAAAAGCAAAGAAAACCCCTCAAAAACCCCCCACTGCCCCCAAACCTTTAACTGGTATCTCTCTAGTATCTCCTCTCTAACCTGTTCATTCCACCTCTCAGACCTGCATAGGCAGCCTTGAGATGAACGTCCCTGTAAAGATGTGAGGAGGCATTGCCAGTTATCTAGGCACAAACTCAGAAGCAGACAAACTAATTTAAAGTTGCTGTTCATGTCTGGAGATTTTGCACTTTTGAAGGGGAAGTGTGTAGTTATTGTAAAAATGGGAATGCCTTTTTTCCCGAACAGCATGTCAGTGTTTACTTGAACTACTTTTCTCCTTCAGTCTTAAGTTCAAGTAAGAAATAATTGATTATGCTGTCTTAATATTTAAGAAACAAGTCTTAATTAAACCCTTGTTTGAAGGCACTGCTTTCAATTCAATTTTATTTAATTAGGAGTGCTTCAAGGGTATCTCAGTGCCCAAGTAGTATTTCTTATGTACATACATTTTTCTCTTTAAAAGTTACATTGCTTCAAAAGATTAATATCTCTTTCACCTCAGGTAACCAGAATTTTCTAGCAAATGGGTGATTAACAGTTATTAAGAGGTTCTAAAATATTAGTACTCAGTAATTTTTCAAACAGTCCTAAATTGCCCCTAGCAGAAGGGTCTTTGTCAAGTTTCATTATTATTGAAATTACAGTAGACATTCAAGCTGCTGGTATTTTCCTGAGCAGCATTTTGGAAGGGAGGCTTAAAAAATCCAAACCCTACTTTTTTGCTTTCTAATATATACATAACTGTGTTTTCTGAATGTCCGTTAGCTGTGTTTCCGCTTCCAGCAATTAAGCTAAAAATATCATTAACTTGCTTTTGAAGTAATGAGGGTATGCAGTGGGTTTTGCTGCTTTAATGTGTTCCTGGCTTTGCAGAAAATTTCACTTGTTATGATTTTGAAAAGGCCATTTTTCAGGTTCTATCATGTACTTTCATCTGTAGTTTAGCTGCTTTCATCCCCAGCTGTTTGCAGCTGCACTTTCTTTTTTGAAGCTTAGTAACCTCAAAGTGCAAAACTTGGTTTGCTGCAGAATTTTCTGTGCTGTCCTGTGGGACGTTTAGGTTCAAATCTGTTAATTCATGTTCCTTAGTCTTGGAAATAGTAAAAGTGTGGAGGACCATGGACTGGCAGGTCTAATTTAAAGAGCAAATGTGGGAAAACTGTACCATAGTGACCCATCTGGGAAAACAAAAGGGAACCAGTAAGCTCTATGATCTTTCCTGTTCCTGTGCCAAAATAGTAGTGACACTAATTAAATTGCACCGTTGCATCCTGAAGCAGTTATTTTAACATCATCAGGCAGACTTTGAATGTCCCTCATGCAGCTGGGATAATTTCAGGCAAGGGTGTTCAGCAGAAAGGGCTGTTTCAGTCCGTCTGAAATAGGCTCACTGAAAGTCAGGTGTGCTTCACTGTCCATCTAGTCTAAGCTTCCTGGGTGCTTTTTATTTAAAAATAAGTTGTTTTAAAAGGAAAGATTTAGTTATACAGAAGTGAACTTGCATGTCTACCAATTTATGCTTTTTGAAGAAGCACACATTATTGTTTGCAGTGAATGTTCAATAGCAAGCTGCGCTACATAGCTGCGTGGCTGGAGTACAGGTGTACTTTGTTCCCAAAAAGTTCTGTGGAAATGCCTGTGAAATTGAAACACCACCAAGGATTCAATATACTACTAATAATTGAAGACCACAGGAAAAGAGTGAGAGAATAATCACAATATTCCCATCCTGACAGAACTTTAAATGCCGTCAGCTTTATCTTTAAATGGCAATCTGCTAATTATCTAATCAAAAAGGAATGACAAAGTTGCTGAGTCATGAGCATGAGAGGCAACCAAAGCTTCAGGGCTTGTGTTTGTACATATATCTTAGGTAATCAAGAAAAAATTAATTTCTCCCTTCCATTCTAGGTGCCATTGATGCTAGTGATACTTAAAAAAGCAACCCGAATGTCCCAGCTGGATTACTGAGCACTTTTGTGATTCCTGGAGGTGCTGCTATTTAAATAAGTAATTGTCCTTAGTACTTGGCCTTTCATCGCAGAAGCATCCGCTTGGGTACTGTATGCAAGTCCTTGACATTCTGGAAACCATGGGGATTGGTAAGAATACCACTTCGAAATCAGTGGAGGCGGGAGGCTCAACAGAGGGCAAATACGAGGATGAATCTAAACATCCCACCTTTTTCACCCTGCCTGTAAGTAACACATTCAGGTATTACGTAGTCAAGCTCAGTGTGAATCAGTTAATACTGCTTTGTTCTAATCATGTACAAAACCTTTATTTCCACAAGTAGTTGGTAAAACCTCGTTTGCCACTTGTAACTGTTTATATATAAACACGGACAATTATGTTGTCAGTAGTTATTTCATATGTGAGCTCCAAAGCAGTGCTGTTCACAGGATATGCAATACCCCAGGCAATTCATAATTAGAGCAATTAATAATTACTGCTGCAGAGTGTACCGGCCTTTGGTCTGTCCTGAGTTATTTGACCAAGAATAGCAGGCGACAGCAAGGAAACGTTTGCTTGTCTTCTTTTACGTACTCAGATTTTCAATTGTATCATTTTGATGTACATGTCTGCCTCTTAAGAACATTTCCAGTCTGCTGCTGGTTTCCCCCACCCTCAGCTGACACTGTCCAGGCTTTGAGGAGCTGTATGTAATGTCTTTCAAGTTTCTGTATATTCCTAGACATGCTGTTACAGAAATGATTGCTTACCGTGCTTGTAATGCTTTCTGACTAAATGTCAAAGGCAGATGTCAAGTACCAAGGGAGAAAACTGAGTGAAATGAGGTGTGATTGCAGAGAAAATGTTTATTTTAACACCCTGTGTTTATTTTTTTGTTTTATTTTTAAGGTCGTGATAAATGGTGGAGCAACATCCAGCGGTGATCAGGATACAGAAGACACAGAGTTGATGGCCATCTATACTACAGAAAATGGCATAGCAGAAAAGGTATGTAGTGGTTTCCTTCTAGGTGAGAACTCACTTCTTCAATTCTATTATTTGTCCACACTAGTTTTACTTGGCTGAGAGATTTTCTTTCTCTTAATCAAACATGATGACTTGCAGATTCAGATTGGGGTTGGGGAAGTTCTGTCCTCATGACTCTTCTGGTCACACATTGTGGTTGCAGAACATGGGGAATGAGTCAGCAAATGTTAGAAGTGGTTAATGCACTTTGACCTGGCACCAAAATTCATAATATGCAATTTTTTGATTTCTTCATTTCGCTGGCTTTTTGAATGACTTCCCTGATAAGGTCATTCTTTCTGTTCTTCAGTTCTGAACTTTTTTTGCATTTAGTCAAGTAAGCTGGTGGTGTTGAGCACCTTCAGAAGCGGGTTCTTTCCCACAGTTTTTCCCAATTTCTTCCAAGCTCCAACCTGATAAACTTAATTTTTCTAGTCCTTTTTCCAAGTAGGGGGCTGCTTATTATTATTGAGTGACAGCTTTATGAATGAATTTGAGGCCAATCATAAAGACCCTTGAACATTTTTCCTTAGAGTAACGATGACCCAGCAGAGGCCTTGAATGGGAGACCAATTTGGTTGTGATTTTTCTAGCTTTTTTTGTCAATTCCATCATTCCCCAAGCCTGATCAATAATAATCGTGCAGGCAGAGATGGTGTGATTCTGAGTTTTTGTTTAAAATAAGAGGATTACAGTAAATCTGAACAGCACCTTTTTCTGAAATGTTTATATCTAATTGGCTTTGTGGTTAAGCCATATCTCCAAAAAGCCACAATTTGACTAAATTTTTCAAATGTCCAAATTGAAACAAGAACAAAACTCTTGGTTTCAAGCAAGAGCATCATGATGATCATTTCTTTGAGACTGTAACTTCTGTTGGGGCAAGGATGATATCAAAGGGTATTCTAACTCAGACATCAAAATTCACTTTTGAATTTCAGATTTAAAATACACCCTAAACAGGTTATTCTGACAGAGGTCTTCTGGTGTTATATTTTAAAAGAATGTTATGAATGCCACCATGTGCCTTTGTATACTCTCTTACAGATAGTCTGCCTGTATGTCTTGAATACAGGCAGGTATGTCTCTACTACCATCTTGATCATGCTGATATTTTAATGGACAAATTTTGGCAACTGTTGACATGCAGATGTCTGTGATGGCTTATTCTTGGAGCATGCTCAGACTAGTGTGGAGAGAGAGAGACAATCTGATAAAAGCCTTGAGCAAAAGGTGTTGGGATGAAATTGTGCAACTAAGATAAGCGATCTCTAGACATTAAAGCATGTCTTAATGGCCTGTTTTTACCAAACGTATATTTTTCTCCCTTCCACTTGATCCATGTGATCAGAACTGTAAATAATGGATGATAATTCACCTTAAGGAGACCATGAGCTTTTAATCAACCAAATCTGCTTGAGTTAAAGCTTTACTGTGGCATACAATGAATGAAAAGTGAAAGGAGGGGCTGTAGCAATTAACAGCCTCATGTATTAAGATAGTATTTGAGGCTAGTATTTCTGGTAATCTGGGCAAACCTCCTGCTTGTCACTTGAAAAATAAGTGTGTGCATGAAGCATGTTTGTTCTTGGCTTAGCATTCCTCTTGAGGGATCACTCACCAAAAAAAACAATGAAAAGGCCTTGAATAAAAAACCTTTAACAAGGAGGACTGCAGTGTACTTAATTGCTGAAGGATGCCCAATGCTTATGTTGTCTCACAATATTTGTTAGCTGAAACAATAAACTGTTAGCCCAAGTGAGAAACAACTGATGCACCCCTATACAATAAACAATGCTATGCTGCTTATTGCTTAATAGAATAAATTTGAACATGTTGTTGGCTCTTTAAGGTATTTCCCCAAAGACCTTATTCCCCACAGTTAATCATTTTTCTTTTGGTCCTTCCCACCAGTATTTGGTAACAGCCTTCGTCTTGCAAACACCAAGAACAGTGCATCTTTGGATTTGGAGTGGGTTTGTTGGTTTGGGGTTTCCCCCCCATGCCAGCAACACTTGTTTTACCTTTATCTCTGTCTTTTTTCCCCCTGTTTATACTTAATCTTTGCTTTTTTTCATTTTTGTGTTGTCCCATCTTTGGCCAATTAAAAATAATAATAAAAAAAATTAGTCTCTGATCAGTATCTCATTCAAAAAGGTGCAGTTGATTCCCAGCAGTTCCCTACAGCATACTGTGGCATACTTGGCAAGCATCAGCACATAGGCGGTACATTAAACCAGCAGGCACATGCTCGAAATACGAAAGGGCCAGTGACTACCCAGTGATTTCGCAGCAGAATAGCCAGACCTCACCCTAGTTCTCACACTCCTCGTTGTTCAGTCTTGGTCTCTTTTATGTCAGTTCCTTTTAGCCATTATCTGCTAAAGGTTTGATGAAGGTGAAAGCTTCCTCTTCCAAAGCAAAGTCTGGCTTTTGGAATGAATGAAGAGTATCATGGATTTTTTTTTAATGACCACTTTGCTGTGTAGGACAGACATTGCTATAACAATTATGCCTTAAAGTTTTAAATTCTTTTGTTAGAAGACCTATAAACTTCACTTTCTAAAGGAGAGCTTAAATTGGTTAGCAGTTGTTGGTCTGTGCCCAACAAGAGCTTTCTACATGCCATGGACAAGTTGACTTGTTCCTAGGCCTGATGCCTGCTGATCATTTTTGTTCTTTGTAAACAAATGTAGCCATAAATATAATCATAAATTAAAAACTCTGAAGGGACTCATAAACTTGCTGCATGTGCCATGGTCTTCCTGGTAGAAACAGGTCATCATTTCTAATTTCTGCTGCCCAAAGAAGAGGGGGAATATATAGAATGGAATAGAAGGACAGGTGGAAAAATTAAGTGATGTAATTGTTTCAGTCTCATCAGTCCTATGAAGAAAAATTGGTGGTGTTCAACACTAAGTGGAACAGTTCAGTTAGGTAGCTATTGGACATTGGTCTGGCAAAGTTAGAAAAGCTAGAAAAGAGGCCAGAAGATGGGTTTTCAAAAGGAAGGGGCCAAACCAGTCACCAATCTGCACAAATCACTTACTGGATTTTTAGAGAACCTGATACCCTGCACGGGAACATCATGAACTTTGAAAATCCCATTTCTGTCTGTCCTTGGAGTAATGCAGGTTGCTCAGTGCACAGTAGTAGGTGTTTTATCTTTTTACATTGCAGTCAGGTGGGGAGCTAGCCACAGTTTGTGCTCTTAAATCTATGCTGCTATTTGTGTGGTTTCAGCAAGCCAACATTGACATGATTCATGAAGCAAACAGTTAATTTCTGTTGATATCTCTCTGTCCCTACCTCAGGAGCAGATGTTGTAACCATTCTTACTCTTCCTCCATGACCTGCCTCTCTGAAAGTGTATGATGACCTCTTAGTCAAAATGTTGAATAAACAGGCAATATCACTGGTGAGCAAAGTTCTTGGGTGGAGTGTGTCTTGCAGTGAAATAGAGGAGAGGTGAGGCAATCATACACACATTTTTTTATACATATATATATATATATATATATATATATGTATGTTTGTGTGTTTGTATAGTTTCTGGAGAAAGGTTAACAAAACTGCCTTATAACAACAGAAAGTATCACAGGAGCTTCTCTGGGTGAATCTTTGTTTTCCTGAGCAAGTTCTTAAAGGAAGCCTCTAGTGGTGATAAATGTCCTGCTGTTTGCCCATAACTGCGTTGGCTGTTGAGTTTTCCTCCTCCTGCCTGTCTTTGTGGGTCAGCCACTTTGTGCCCAGCCTTGGATCTGCACATAATTGCATTGGCATGAGGATGTACCTGTTTTTCCCTAAGTTCCAGTTAGGGACAAGCTTACTGCTGCTTAGTGCTTTCCTTCCAGTATGAGGTGAAGCTCTAAAACTCAAGCTCCTGATATTTTTCATCTGTTATGTTTTAGAGAATCAGGTGAGGAGAGGGATCTTCCATTTTTCAGTCAATGAAAAAATTACATTGGTGCTGCAGATTGGCAAAATGTATTGCACAGTGAACAGTTTCCCTTATTCCTCTGTTTAGGACCTGTACCTTATTTAAACTAACCCCAGTGAGCAGATTGCTCGGTGCTTAATGTTGTTCAAAAGAGTTTTCTAAAATTAGTGCTACTATGTTTTGCTTTTTCACTGTAATACCCTCGACCTTTCCATAGCGGTGTAGTCATCTACACTTGCTGAATTTGCATTAACCCAGTGGCATTTGTTTTCCCAACAGAAATCAGAGGTAAAAGGGAAATACCATGGGTCAGTTTGGCTTTTCTGACCTTGTAGATGATAAACCAAATGGACATTATCTAAGCATAATTTGTCAATGTATAGTGATTTTTTTTGAAGAAGTAAAGACCATTTGAGGCAGAGTCACAAGTCTGGCAAAGTTCCCAGTCTTTGTGTAAGGCTACTTCACATGAGTTTGTTATGTTTAGTGTGGATTAGGTCGGAACAGTAGTTACATAAGGTATTTTTTGGTTAGTTGAGCTGAAATGATAAAATCTGATACTTCCTCCTGCTTTTGTTGTTGGTATTTGGTCTTTGGAGCATTGTGTTTTTGTTCTCCGGAATTTCAAAACCAGAGAGTTTGAACGAAATGATTCCACTTAGTTGTAAAAAAGAAATGATTGAGCTGAATCTTGTTTTAATGGAAAATCTGCAGGGATTTTGATGCGTGTATATGTGTGGTCAGTTGTCTGTAACTCTCTGCGAATTAGGGCACATGGTAAGCCAGAATGTGGTATTGCTTATATTCCTGTAGGTTTGGAGGAAGCCCACTTGACTAATATAAATTGGCCGTATATTCAGTTACAGTGATTAACATTTTTCTTGACTTGAATGTGGGGTGGAAGCAAAAATGGTAAATCTTGTGGGTAAAAAAGGTTAACCACGACTGAAATTGAGTAAGAATTAAGCAGGGAAGCAATTACCGTAATGAGGAACTTTCTTGCCTGTGATTTTGGTCTCTTATGCAAGGGTAGCCATTCTGCTTTGAAAATAACCATTGTTGACACTTCTACTTAGTTCTGATTCTTACCCCCCCTCCCTTTTTTTTTATTAGCTCTGTCATGATAACCTCATTTTTTGGGGCACCTTTTGGCTGCCAGATCAGTTATATCATAAACAATTGTTGTGTTAGTATAAATAAGCAGAGAATGGCTTATAGAAGTGAATGTGTTCAGTACAAGCTCACTAGCTAGAGCTGGAGATGAGCTCATCATCTGAGGTAAAAGGCTTTAAAAATGTCACTTTACCACCATTTCTTGGGAGTACTATACCAGCCTTGGAGTATCTGCGAATTGCCTGAAAGTTCAAATTCAGTGTATTCATATGTAACAGTAACCCACTGTTATTTGTGTGCTCCCCCACTTTTTTACCCTCCCCACCTTCCCTATCAAAATAGAGCTCTTTGGCAGAGACGCTGGACAGCAGTGGCAGTTTAGATGCACAGAGAACTGACATGATTTACACTATCGAAGATGTTCCTCCTTGGTATCTCTGCATATTTTTGGGGTTACAGGTATGTTTCCAAACAGCTATAATGTTTTTCTCTGTAACTTTTAAAGCTTGTTTAGGATTTTGTGTAGTTCATTGCATTTGTGCATGTGATAATTTTATTCTTCCCACGCTCTGACATGTTTGAAGAAAGTGTTAAGATAGTTCTTCTGAAGTTGATCACAAAGATTACTGTGTTGATAATGATCTACATTATTGTTTGCTAGTGTATGCATTTGTGAGATTCACTTCAATATTTAGTCTTTTGCTGTTAGCAAATCAGTGAGCAAATGCTAAGTGGGAAGCTTTAGAAAGTGAAATTAAAGATGTAGAGAGATAATAGTTTAGTCTTGAAATCTTGAATATTAAAACTGCTACTATAGTAATTTCAGTTTTGCGACCTTAATAGCCTCAGCCTGCACCTGTAGGCTCACTAGTAAGTGGGGCTGGTAAATTTTGCAGTCCTTGGAGTGAGAGCATCTGCTCCCTACAATGAGTAGGACTTCACTTGTGTGAAGTGGAACAGCTAGTTTCATCTCGTTTCTTTCTCAAATGTTAGTAATATCTGTCTTACAGGAATGCTGAGAATTTGTTAATATGTGTAAAGTATGTTGAGATATCCTAACAAATACATTCCAAAACATCCTTTTTATTTCTGCCTTTCCTCAAGGACTGGCAGTTCTGTAGAGACTATATTTTTACTTGCATTGTTGAATATGGGGGCTCTTGTTTGTTTGTTTGCTTAATGTATTTGGATTGAAAAAGAATTAATGAGTACCAAGTTCTGGTACTTGAGAGCTTATTTGCAGCCTAGTTTGTGCTCTAAGTTCCTTGGTAAGCTAATGTTTTTTTACATGGCTGAAAGTGAATGAGGTTATTTATCTGCTTTTCTGAGTTAGAAGCTGTTTTCAGCACAGTTACCTAGATACCTCCTCCTCAAGAACAGTAGCTATGTAGCTACATAAATAACCTAGCTTATCCTACAGAAATAGTGAACATTAGCAACAGGCTAGTGGTAGCTCAACATGGAAGGAAAATATTCAAGAAATGCTTAGGACCAGGAGAGCTTTGGTGGATAATTCGAAAGCAAAAATATCCAATGCAAAAGAAAAAATGGTCATAAATTTATTTACTTACTAATATTGGCTGCAGTACTAACAAACCATTTTTCTCTTCCCAGCATTACTTAACATGTTTCAGTGGAACTATAGCAGTGCCGTTTTTGCTAGCTGATGCCATGTGTGTTGGATTTGACCAGTGGGCTACCAGCCAGTTGATTGGGACCATTTTCTTCTGCGTGGGCATCACTACATTGTTACAAACAACTTTTGGGTGCAGGTGAGATTTGGGACTTGTTTCTAGATGTTCAGATGGTGATAAGACTAGACATCTGTTGGGATTTTCAGGATGCAGTCTTGGGATCCAGGAGGTTAGTAGTCTATTTTCAAAGGGTAAACGTGAAATACAAGATAAGAGGTCAAATACAGGGCAGTTAGGGAAAGCTTTTGGAAAGCTTCTCCCAAAAAAAGGTGGATCTGAAAGGAGAGAAGGCATTCCAAGGGTAAGGAAATAAAGCAGCAACAGGGAGTGAGAAGAAGGAGGGAAGTGCATGAGGACAGAGAAGGATGAAGTGTTTCTGCGGGAAAGGAAAAAGTAATACACTGTGCTAGAGAGGAACTATTTTTCATATTTTTATTAGTTTCTTGAATGATACTTTGTACTGGCCAATATTGAGGTGGTTGTGATTAGTCCTACAGCAAATAGTGTGCTTGTTCCCTTAAAGTGCTTGTCAATTTAAAAAGGTGGGGAAAAATGATGAGGGTAACTCTCTGAACTGACTGTCTCTGGTACTTTCCAATACAAACAAATAATTTGTTTTTATATGTTAGTTGCTCTAAGTTGCAGGTAATGATCCTTCCTTGAGTTGGGAAGAAGTACACACGTTAGATACAGGGATGCCTGTACCTCTCCTTTGTTCTGCCCTCCTTGGGAGGGGGGAGGATGCAAGAGACCAACTCAAGTGTTAGCAAATACTTGTAAAAATCTGTTGGTAAGAACAGGATGTTGTAAGTTTTACTAACATGAAGATAAATCTTTTTTTTAAAGTGTGTTCTACAGTAAACACTGACGAGAGAAGTTTGATATGTTTACTTAAACTTTTGTTGACTCTGCCTGTGAGAAGTGGGAATAGCTAAAACCTGCAGGGTTATTTCTGCATCTTCTTGAATAAACCAAGAGTGATAAGTAAAACCAGAAGAAAAGTGCATATTTTAAGAGTATGCCCTCATATGGTTACTTGAATGATTCATGGGTCATTTAGTTCAATTTAAGAACAATGTGAGCTGAAATCTTGCATTCCAATAGAAAACGGACAAACACCCCCCACATTTTTAAAGATTTATTTAAGAAACAGAGTCTTTGGGTGGAAAAGTTATCTCAATAGGGTGCAGAAGGCAAGCCTATGGTAGATCACTCGCAGTTGTAGGTCAGCTTTTCATCTAAAAATTTTCCAAATATTTTAGGTTCTCCAAGGTAATCTTTAGTTGCTATTTTAGTGCTTTAGTTAGCTTTCTTGTCTTTTTTCATTTGAAAAAAATCTTCCCTTTGTTTTTTTACTGTCTTACTCAATTTATAAAATCACTCCACTATTTTGTATGAAAAGTTTGTTCTGATGACAAAACAGCATAATGAAATTTGTTGAAAGAGAAAATTTTCTTTCCCCAATGTATTTTAGTCAAGCCTACCTGCAGTTAATAATCATATTTGCTGCCTGGTTGGCTCTTTGTGCTCATAGAGTAACTTGACTTAGCTGTAATCATAAATTTTGAAGTAACGCATCTGAAAGGAGACAGAGGAGCAGAGTTGTGCCCTTTGGTGGTTTGAACCTCTTTTTTAATGGGAGCAATGTGGGGGTTTTTTCCCACTCTTCCATTTGTGCTTTACATAGGGAATCGAGAGATTCTTAACTTAGGCAGGAGGTGGAAGATGAGGTCTTTTGTTGTTCAGCTTTGAGTGTCTCCTCCGTGGATTTACTGAAGTTTAAAGTCTTCCAGTGTTATAAGAAATGCAGAGTCATGGATGGAGATGAACTCAAAGGGGAGCTTTGTTTTCCTGTACTTCTACCAGCTTGCTTTCTGCCTCATTTATCAGAAAATTCTTAGTTTTTATGCCTTCTGAGACTTGTATTTCTTCACAGAACTAAAGTTCATCGTGTTTTCATTTTCTCCCTAACTAATCTTGGGCTCTTTGTTACTTCCTGTAGAGTGATTTTGGGCTCTTGCAGAAACCAGTGTGGTCCCACCATTTTGAAATGCTTTGCTCTTACTGTGTAATCCCACCTCTGTCCTCCGCAGTGTTTTGGGGATTTTGGTGTGGGGTTTTTTTGTTGTTTTTCTTTTTCCCTTTTCAGTGGCTTCCACTTGCACTGTGAAGTACATGTTTACATACTGAAGAGGCAATTGTGTTTGGGTCTTTGAGAAAATTTCTGCGGTTGAATGTTTTATAACTATTTAACATGTGATTCCGGTTTTATGTAAGGGTGGGAATGGGATATAGCATCGACGTTCTCTAAATGAGATTTTAAAGTATTTTTTGGCAAGTCTGTCAACTGCAAAGTATTTCAGCAAATAAAGCCACTACAGTTTCAAAAGGTCAAATTCCATGGCTTAAAGATCCTTAAAGATGGATTTAGCTCAATTATGAGGTGGAGTTGTGGTCAATTTGGTACCCATACTGATTTTAAGAATTCAAGCTATTTATTAGATTATGTAATAAGCCAAAAGATTTGGCAAGGATTCAGAGTAATTAGTATGACTGAGACAATCAAATACAACTTTAATATGCCTAGACATTTTAGGTTTGTTGTTGTGCCCATCGCTACATTGTCTAAGCATTCTTACATCTGTGTGAGATGTTAAGGTAATGAAGACATTTCCAGATGACTTTAACTGCGTAAAAAACTCTGTCTTCACAAGGACTGTTGCCAAAATTGAGCAATTTCACAATTTAGACATGAAATTAAAATGATATCCAATCATAAGCTGGTGGTACCATGCCTGGCTTAGCAATAGGAAGAGTATTTCATAAGTCATCTTCCAAACCGCAGCTGTCTCTTCAGAAAGAGACTGATCTTCGTTGGCTGGTTTTGAGTAATATGGGTTGTTTTTAAAAAAAAAACAAAAAAAAAAACAAAAAAAAAACACCACCAAACTTTTCTGCTGGGGGGGGAAAAAAACCCTATATTTTGAGCCTGCTGGCCCTTTTGGTAAATAGTCCAAGTTAACTGTCTCATCTAAAGGTTGAGCAGATAGCTAAGCAAAAAACGCTAAGATCTTATTATTCAGTATGTATGCAGGGTATTTTATGTGATACAAAACTCACAATCTAGACCTAAGTCTCAGTGCAACTGACTTCATCACTGGAGAATGTGTTTGCAATGTATATTTACAAAATTATTAGTTGGGGGGACAGAGTACTGCGTGGGTGGCATAGAGGAGTAACAGCTTGTTACAGGTATTGCATATTTTGCCATGGGCACCAGCTTGCTCAGTTTGCGTAATGAACCTTGAAAAATAAGGTGAATCATTCACTCAGCTACCAACCGTTTCTTCACCAAAGATACATCTTTGATTTTTGCTTGAAGAATCTTAGAAGGGAATTACATGCCAGGCACGTGTGCTCAGATGGCCCGTGTATTTTATGAAGTTTGATTTTTCTAATGCAGTTTTCAGTGTTTGCAGTAGGTGGGCCAGCATTTTAGATTGTCCATGACCCAAACTCCTTTCCAATGGTAATTCAACAGTTCTGACTCTGAACTTTACAACTACTGTTAATAACATGCTTCTGGTTTGATCTTTTTTGTGTTAAGCCTGTATAGGATTTTTTTTTCCCCCCACTGTCTGGTTTGTTTGTTTGTTTGTTTTTTTATTTTTTTCCTCTCCTTTGTGGCTTTTCTGATCTTTATCTGAAAGTTACAGTTCTTTTTCCTTTACTGGTGTTTGCACTGGCATCAAGGCACTTCATTGCGGCTGTAAAACAGCCATAAACACGGTGCAGTAACTAGAGCCACATGAGCAATTAAATGTTCCATGTGTTACAGTTTGAGATCTGCTATTAAGGAGAATCTTATTACAATCCGTTCATGACAGTATTTATAGAATAGTTCAAAGTGCATCTTCTCTGTAGTTAAGTAACATCTGCTTATTTGTGATGTTATGCAAGCTACAGTTGATTCAATAAATACATAGTTGGTGCTGGTAGATGTTCTTCAGATCTTAAACCTTTTGGGAAGTGTAAGCACCAATGCCAAGAATGTCATCTTGAAATTCTTGCAGCGTTTGTATTTATTGTCAGTAACCACCTGGAACATCTAATCAGCTCTTATCAACCTAATAGTTATTTACACATACACTTAAAGATGAATGTATAAATGACTGTACTTCAAGTTATGCAGAGGGAAGGTATTGAGTATGCAAACTGCATACTGCACTATCAAAGAGCTTTTTTAATGTGGCGGGACGGTAAAAGCTGCATGCTCAGCAGCCTGGCTGGTACTTGCATCAGAACGTGCATCTGTGTCCTTGCTGTGCTGCTGAGTCAAAACCTTCAGTCGATGTCTGGTACCTGCGTGCTGGTCTCTGGTAATTATCTGTGATAGGCGTTGTGTTAATAACTTCATGCATGTAGTGTCTTCTGTTAGGTCTTTGGTTTGTGAAGTCTTCATATTTCTATAGCTGTTCTTTTTAATAAGAAATTCTCATATTTCACATTTTTAATAGCCACCCCCAGTAAAGGGTGGTTTTGAGGGTGAGTAACCACTTGACTGCAGTTGATATCCTGACGCGGTACTGTAACACTGAGAAACATCAGCGTCTCTTCTTTCCCTTTCCACCAGGTTGCCCTTGTTTCAAGCAAGTGCTTTTGCATTCTTAGCACCTGCTAGAGCAATACTCTCCCTGGAGAAGTGGAAATGTAATAATACAGGTAATTGTCATTTATGTTTGTTCAGGTTTAAGTAACAAGTGACCCAGGTCACATACAGTGCAACTGCCAAACCTTTTGATATGGAAACTGGAAGTGATGAACAGGGAATATGAAAAACCAGCTTTCACAATGTTAAAACTTTGTGCCTTGGGAAAAGATTCCTAAAAATTCTGTTGTGGAATTCTGTTCCTGTTTTGTTTGGTTTTTTGGTTGTTTTTTTTTTTTTTGTTGTTGTTTGTTTTTTTTTTTGTTTGTTTTTTTTTTGTTTTTTTTTAATATAAAAAAGATTGACAAAAGCAATGTTAAACATTAGCATAAAACATTTATTTCGTTAACAGTGTAGAGAAAGGCAGGATTCTGGAAATGTTTCTTTCTGGTATTTGGAAATAGTGAGTCCGATCAAGTCCTTTTAAGTTGAGTAGTAGTAAGTTTGGGCAATGTTCAGCATCACCTCAAGACCATTGTTTTTACCTGTTTAGCTCATACCTGACAGGTTTTGCAGAGCAAGCTTTGATAGTATTTGGATGTTCATTTTAACTTTTTCTTTGCTAACTTCATCATCATGAAACGTTTTCCATTCTTCTAGAGTGAAAATGTGCCATAAAACTTGTTGGGTAGGGGACTTTTGCTTTAACTCAGGTTAGATAACTGAAGTGGAAACAGCAGCTCTGGCAGTTTTCTTGTTAATGTGGTGGGGTCAGTCAGTAGTAACGCTGTGGGCATTGCAAGACAGCAGTATAGAGAAGCAGGCTGCTTGTTTCTAGCTAAAGTTTTTCCCAGGGTTCCTGCTGATTCTCTATAATCATTTATATGATTTATGTGTTTATACATCTCTTGATTCACTTACCACCATCTAATTAATTTTCCTGATGTTTTCACTATAGAAAACTTAAATTTGAGCATTTACATTTTCTCACTGGGAGAGTCAGACTTAGCTACTGGGAAGTAGCATGTGGGTTTCAGTGCCCAAGAGGCAAAGACAAACTATTGTTAACTATAGTAACTAACTAATATATAACTATAAAGGCAAACTATGGTGTGCTTTAGTAGTGCTAGCTGTTTTGGGTATTTCTGTGCATCAAAATGTGCCAGTATCCTAATACACACCTTGTTGAAAGAAAATACTGTCTGATAACCTTTGATGGCAAAACAATTTTTCCACTACTTCAGCTTTTCAGAAACAGCCTTTCGTGCATCTTGCTCTTAAACCTTTTAGCCTTCAAAAGGTGTCAGATGGGGTTGTTACCGGAGGTCAATTCAGGGAGTGACCTAAATTGGTGAACAACAAACGTTGGAGTACTTGATTCCTAGTGTGCAGTTGAGTAATTCTCCATTCATGCATTTATTGGAGTGGGGAAAGAATCTCTAACTGAACTTTCTTTTTGAAAGTTATGATTTTTTTTCCATTTTAGTACAGTGGGTAAAATTAGTGGTTAGCTCTTGGGGAAATGTAAGCGTGCTATTACTTGATTTGTAGCATTGCAGAACTTTTATTCTGTGTAAATCAAGGCTCATTTGTCAGACACAGCTTCACAGATTTACTTTGTATTAAACAATGGCAAAGTGGCCAAGGAATAAATACCTGTGTTTGTTCTTTCTTTCTTTTTGTAAGATATAACAGTTACAAATGGAACAACAGAACTGCTTCACACTGAGCACATCTGGTATCCCAGAATACGAGAGGTAATGTAGGAGTAGCCTTTAGCTGTTGATCTGTCTGATTCCAGTTGAGTTTCTCACCTAACCATCTCTGTGTTCTTGTCTTTAAGTTGGTAATTTCTTTTTTTCACTGCGATTTCATTTGAATATATCCCTTTACTCATTTCATGGAAGTCTTCATCTTTTCAACTTGTTCATTGCTGGACAGCAAATGCAAGGAGTTAGTTACCACATTCCAAAAGATGCACAGTAAAATGCACAAGCGAGACGAATACTCCTCTTATAACACTTTACTATTTGTGCTTACTAGTAGCAGTTCAGCTGCTACCAGACCATTTGCCTGCTGTCACTGTTGAGTAGGCTGTCCCGTGGAAGGTAACATGCAGTTAGCAAATCTGTTCATCCCTAGGTGTCTTAAGTTGGAGACTATTCTAATAAGATGTTGATTCTCCCAAGAGACTTGCTGAAATCTGTCAAACTCCTTCTCCACTTGCAGCACTGCAGTCTGAACTTCGTCATGCTCTGCAGAGCCCAGGATGAGGGTTGTGCCCAGGCACCACACTAGAGTGGTAGATAGCGTAGTCCAAATTAAGGCGTGTGTCATGGAATTTATCTCCCATCCCGTTGCTTTGGGCTGCAAACTTTTTCTTAATTAAAAACAACCCCTCTCTCTTCCCCATGTTCAAACCATAGCTACATCCTGCCAAGAGCCCTGCAGCCAAGAGGGCTGACAGTCTCCTGAGACCACAACGCTGCTCTATACCAGCTTCTAAGGAGCACTTGTGAACAATGCAGCATACACTCTGCCCCTAGGAGCTAGGAGCATCACCTCCGTGGCGCCACCAACCCTTGCCGGTTCGATCTGAGAGCTTAAAGGTTAGCCTGGAACCCAGGTCTCCTGTCTGACAGTGTGATGTGCTATCCACACAACTACCAGACTGGCCCACTGGTCTGTTGTGTAATAGTTTTGTGGAGAAAACCATAAGTGTTATGCTTAAGCAATAAGTCACTTAAACATAATGAGCTGTTTTATGACAAAAAATTTGCTGAGTTCTTCTGTGTCACTGAATTCTTTTAACTGCAGTTTGTAATCCAGAGCAGAAAAAGAAATGTTTTGGGTTTGCTTGTAAGATTTGACTGAACTGTCTCTATCCCGTTCTTGTGTGTTCAGATCCAAGGTGCTATTATCATGTCCTCCCTGATAGAGGTGGTCATCGGTTTGCTTGGCCTTCCCGGCGCCCTGTTGCGATACATTGGACCTCTGACCATCACACCAACTGTTGCTCTCATCGGCCTCTCCGGTTTCCAAGCTGCTGGAGAAAGAGCGGGCAAGCACTGGGGTATTGCGATGTTGTAAGTACTCCCGGGTGTTCTTGGCTTAGGCCGGGGGTCCCAGTTGGTAAGTCATCACGTAGGAATTTCAGAGTGCCAGGGAAAAGCCAGGGTCTGCCCGGCTGCCAAAGGTAGCATTGCAGTGCTCCCAGCATGGAGAAATACCATGTGCAGGGATGTGAGTGGGTCTGGATGGGGTCAGCTGGCAATTTGGGAATAAGGACAGCAGCAGCTCTGGGAGCAGGAGAGGAGCAACGGCTGAAAGTGAGGTGCAGAGAACAGAGAATTTTATAAAACAGTAGTTGGTCTGGGAGCCATTAGCAGAGTGTAATTCAGTGCTATAGAAAAGATGATTTAGCAAAACACTGGAGAGATTAGGGGGATAATTTCTATTTCTATGATGCTACTGTGTATGTTTCTTATTCTGCAACAACGAGCAAATAGCATTGGTAGTAGTGATCCATTTGTCGTTATTACTAGTTTGCTTATCTATAGCCAAGAGAAATTTGTATGAGGACAGAGAGCATGTGTATTTCCATGAATGCCATCAGTCAGGGAGGCATAAGCAGACAGATTTTGGTTTAGTAGACAAAAAGGCTTTTAGAATGAATTTCAGGGCATGATGTATGTGCTTTTGTAGATATAGATGCCAGGGAAATTAAAGAGTTGAGATTAGTGGTATGAAAGGAAATAACTGAGAAAAATGAGATGAGGAGAAGACAAAAGCTTCCTGTGAGATGCTGTGGATAACCAGCCAAATGAGGATAGAAACCACATTTTAGGGAGAAGGAAATTGACTGAAGCAGTTGCTATATTCAGTGTATAGCGACCAACTCTGTGCTGGCTCTGGAAGCGGAAGGAATGACTTGATGAGATCAGATTCTGATCTGACTAATCTGTTTGCACAGTACTTTGAACATGTAAAGTATTCTGTAAGTGCAGCTTATAATTAAAAGGGCTGTTTAATTCTCTTTTATCTTGGATGTTAGCATCATGAATATTCTTGTAATTCTATTATGTTAAGCAGCTGACCCAAAGGAACGTTTTATTTTCCTGTAAAACAAATTCTATGCAAGTTGGGACTAATGTTAAATCAATCAAACAGACCTTTGGTGAATTGGACATGGAAACGTGTAATTACAGTTGACGTTTTGCAGATGCAAAAAAAAAAATCAATTTCGGAGCAGGTTTTAAATATTACCCAGTCAATAAGTATTTCTGGCTTCTGCCACATAAGAATGTGCATTAGACTGTTGAAAATAACTCCATTGCCATCTAGAAACACTCAAAAGTAACTTGATCTCCACAAGATGTGGCACTTGAAATTGTCTTGACTGTTCTGATGAGATGAAAATACTTCATTGCTATCTAGACCAGCAGAATAATACCTGGGTAAGAGCTATTATCCTCTATTAGCTGCAGATGCTATTTGACAAGATTTTCAGTCCCCAAACAGTTTTCTGACCTTGCTTGATCTGCAGGTGCCAAGCTGAAATAATTTAATCCATAAAACACATCACATCATGATCTGTAAAAAGGGAAATTATTCCTGAATTGATCTTTGCCTGTATATCCAGTGAACAAAACTGTTTCTTTGGGCATTTAAAGATTTGTTAATATTTTACAGAATGGCAGTAAGCCCCCCTGCCGTGTAGCCAATATAATACTATTTACCATAATATAATATTACATTATTTACAGCTCTCTACTAAATAAACCAAAATACAAAGCCACCTGTCCTCAGGGCGACTGTGGCAGGATACCTGCTGTTAGGGAGTGGAGCCCATCTTTCCATAATGGACTTTGGGAGACATGCCAAAATATTTCCTGAATGTGAGGAAAAGGTGCCTTTATCATTCGACTCTATAGTCGGGGGTAAAGGCTATAAATGACACCCTTCTTGTGCAGAGCTCTTTGTTCCTGGAGATTGAGGGAGAATAAAGCTCTGTTTTGTTTCTTACAGACTGAAACTGATCTTGGACAGAAAAGGGAGGGAGGCTTAAAATCTGCCTTTTTTTTTTTAAGTCAGCTGATAAAAACATAATCTCAAATTTCAGAAAAGCTTTGCTTCTTCAGACAGTTTGACTCTTTGTGTAGCCTTTATAGAGCAAAACTGGTTTTGGCTATTTCAGAATTGAACAGCCTGCCCTGGCTTTTTATTCTTCAGTGCAGTGGATACTTATTTTAGCTGTAGAGTTGAATTAATTTTTAATGTCTAGAGGAATTTAGCAGTTTTGATGAGGGGGAAAATACATAATCCTTGAGGCATCTGAAAACTAATAAACTGGGTTACTGGTGAATTGCAGTTGAATGGAATCTTCTTTTTTGGGGCTCTGTTCTGCTTGATACAGCTGTTTAGTGAAAGATGCACATACAAAAAAAAAAAAAGCTGGGATTCTTAAGAATTGAAGAAAGAATTGCCCTTGACACAAATTTTTCAAGTGCTCTGGAGTTTTATGCAAATTTGGAAATATAAAAATGATTGTATACTGGCCTCCAGTTTTCCTGTTTCTTCCCATTTGTTAGCAGCAACCTTTGTGCTTCATATGCAGAGCAGATTTGGACACACAGAGTTTGAGTCAAAAAGAAGCAAGCAGCACAGCGTAGCTCTTTGCTAATGGCTGCTTAGTTCTGAAGATCTTTTTTTAGTCTGATTCGTTTTTCTGGTTTCATTTACCTGGTTGCTGCTGGCTATTTTTGCAGCACTTTAGAATACAAATTATGTTGGTTTAGCTTTGGTGGAATAATAGTTTAGTTAAAATATATTCTCTTATGAGGCCTTGTCTTGTGCTAAATTTAAAATGTACATTTATATTTTATGTTTGAAGAGCTTGAACAGGTTTGTGTTAAGAAGGATTTTTAACATATTGGTGCTAATGACATATCTCTCTTGTCCCACCCTCCTCCTCTTTTCTCAGGACCATTTTCCTAGTATTGTTGTTTTCTCAGTATGCCAGAAATGTCAAATTTCCCTTACCCATTTACAAATCCAAGAAAGGATGGACAGCATACAGGCTGCAGCTTTTCAAGATGTTCCCTGTAAGTAGTTGAACTCATTCTTCAGTTGCCAAAAAAAAACCAAAACAAAACAAAAAAAAACCTAATTTGTGTCTTGGGGTTTTTTTCTTGGTTTTCATTTTTCTTACTAATACAGTATATCACAAAGGTGAGATAAAAGCTTAAATGGACTTACGGGAAAATAAACTGACTCATTCACCTCAGGAAATAGTTGATATTGTACTCTTGCCAGATCTCATTCTGGTGTTTGTCTCTGATGAAGAGTCATTGGAGTGATGATGAAGATCATGGAGGAGAGGGAAGGGGGTAGAGAAGAAGGTGTGATTATGCATGCAGTGAAAGCCTAAACTGAGCCTTCCAAAAAGGGATGGCGAGATTGTTATCTTCTAGTTTTATGAAAGCAATACTCCATTCCTCCGTGTGAAAGGCTTCTTTTTGTGTCTCTGGTAAAGTTGAGACTAATTCACTAAGTTTGTTTAAGTGCCCATTTGGAGACTTTCCCATTTGTTAAGGGAGAGAAGAGGCTTGCTCTAATTCTACAGCTTTTGTAACAGCACCTTCGTTAGGGGCCGGGGGGAAGCACCTAACAGATCTGTTACAGGATTTACTGCTTGTTTAGACTTTAAAATTTCACTTAAGATCATGCTTGGGTACGTGTGTAATAGATATTCTGTGCAGGAACTGTTTGCAGTTCATTAATATTGCCAATGATATTTTATTTTAAACAGCTTTTTTCCTTCTCTTTTACAGATTATTTTAGCGATTTTGGTGTCATGGTTGCTTTGCTTTATCTTCACTGTGACAGACGTCTTTCCCCCTGACAGTTCGAAGTACGGCTTCTATGCTCGCACAGACGCCCGACGAGGAGTGCTGTTGGTAGCTCCGTGGTTCAAGGTTCCTTATCCTTGTAAGTATGTCTGGTTTTAAGAGCTGTTTGTCTAATACTATGCCTGTGAGTATAATTTCTGTTGTTTTTAGAAGCGTTGCTATTTTTCTCTCAGTACTATATTCTGATGTATTTCAACATGCACTGACCTAAAGACGTTATAGGTGGCGATGATGTTTTCTTTGTTTTCCTCTTTAATTTGATGCCTTAATGTCTCACCCAAGAAAAGACCATGTCTCTGAAACTTTAGTTTGTTGAAGGCACTTGCTGGGTTTATCTAGGTAACTCCTGGCTTCAAATAAGGTGGTGGGACTGTATATAAAACATGAAGTTTTGGGGAATGGTCGATTTAGCCGTACTTGTTGATAACTGTGGTCAGCTGCTGTTAACGTTATACAATAATCAGGATGAGTTATTACAACTCCTGTAGAGCTACTGAAGTCAGTGATTTTTGTTGTCTAAAGAGTCAGTAGTGTGTAGAGTGTTTTCCAGCCTGATGCTCTTCCCTGCCCCAAACACACTTGGTCTTGACCTAACATTACTACACAAAAATGTCCTGACTTGCAGAAGCGGCATTGGAATCAGGCTGATGGGCAAGTCAGAGAATGTCAGTCAGTGCTTTTCAAATGATAAAAAAGTATTTACAAGAGAACACGAAACACTTTACTCGATGTCTCAGATGTTTGTATTCTTTTGCTGGTCATCTTTAGGTTCAAAGCTGTTAAAGGTTGTTTCTTACGCTATGAGATAGTTGCCCAACTGGTTCACCCTTGTACTGCTCAGAAATTAGTGGGGTAATAATAGAATAATATTTTACTAGAATAGAGTAATAAAGATTGTTAGGAACTCCACTACACTGTAATGAGGCAGCTTCGTTGTGGTTTTCCATATGCTGTGGTTCTGATTAGTTCTTAAAAGAAACCACTTCTAAAGCAGTACTCGCAAGATGTATAATAGAAGCTTTTGGGAAAGAAGAGGAGGAAAACTTCTTCACTGTGATTAGACCTTTCCTATTTAAGAAGCCTTGTTCACTCACATTTGTGTGACTTAAAGTTCCTTTTGTTGCTAGAGGCTCATCTATGTTGAAGAGATAAAAGCATCAAGGCAATTGCTGTGGAAAACCTGCCAAGCTTTTCTACAGGCTTAAATTAATCTTATTTTCTCTTGTACAAAAATTTTGAATTAGAAGGTGTTTGTGCAGTGATCATAGCTGGTTGTTGGCATTCTCTTCGGTAGACTAAACTTATAACCAAAGTCTGAGTTTTTAGAGCAATAATAATTAAGTGGCATTCGCCTCACTGATCAGAATTGTTTTTTCACAAGCAGTAGTTCAAATTCCTTCCTTCTGAACAGGAGGAATTTTTTTGGTGAGGTTTAGGGGGTTTTGGGCTTTTTCCAAGCATGATCAAAGCAGTTGGTTAGGAGTTTTTTTCCTTTGCTCCTTTCATCTACTGGAACTTGCCAGGCTGTGTTACTGTGAAGGGAGTTTGTTGTTTCCATTAAAGATGAATAAACAGTGTGGCCAGCAGGACTAGGGCAGTGATGGTCCCCCTGTACTCGGCACTGGTGAGGCTGCACCTTGGACACTGGGCTCAGTTTTGGGCCCCCTACTACAAGAAAGACATTGAGGTGCTGGAGCATGTCCTGAGAAGAGCAACAAAGCTGGTGAAGGGTCTGGAGAACAAGTCCTGTGAGGAGCTGCTGAGGGAACGGGGGGTGTTTAGCCTGGAGAAAAGGGGACTGAGGGGAGACTTTATCACTCTCTCCAACTACCCAAAATGAGGTTGTAGCGAGGTGGGGGTTGGTCTCTTCTCCCAAGTAACAAGCGATAGGACAAGAGGAAATGGCCTCCAGTTGTGCCAGAGGAGGTTTAGATTGGATATTAGGAACAGTTTCTTCACCGAAAGGGTTGTCAAGCACTGGAACAGGCTGCCCAGGGAAGTGGTTGAGTCACCATCCCTCAACATATTTAAAAGACGTGTAGATGTGGCACTAGAGGACATGGTTTAGTGGTGGGCTTGGCAGTGCTGGGTTAGCAGTTGGACTCGGTGATCTTAAAGGTCTTTTCCAACCTAAATGATTCTATGATTCTGTGAAATTGCTGTTTGTTTTGATATCTAAATTGTTTTCTGTGGCACAAGAGAATTCAGTTTTCTTTTCTTCACAGTTCAGTGGGGACTGCCAACAATTTCAGCCGCTGGAGTAATAGGAATGCTTAGCGCAGTTGTTGCTAGCATTATTGAATCAATAGGAGATTACTATGCCTGTGCCAGGTTGTCTTGTGCGCCTCCTCCACCTATTCATGCAATAAACAGGTATGTCAAAAAAAAAAATACTTTCCAGTGCCTTAAGCTACTTTTTTTTCTTTTTTTTTTTTTCACTTGTTTTTTTTTTTTTTTTCCTCGGGATAAGACAGGAATGTGCTCTGAGATTAAATGTTACAATTTGGTCAAACACAAGGGCCAAGGATCTGAAATACAAGATGCAACTGTCATGTTGAATTATTTTGTTGCAAATGTGGCATTGGAAACCTAGTCCTATTCATGCTGGAGTCTGTGGAAGTTAATAATAGAGTTTCCATAGGGACAGGACTCTAAATGAGTTCTGTAATTGGGATAGCTTGTCAAAATCACCTGACATGCAGTTTTAGAAATAAAAGAGCGGCTCTAAGTTTGACTTGAATTATTTTGCAATTTCCTCGATTTAAGAACATGGGTATCTAAGGCATAGAAAAGAGAACTCAAGTTGGTTTTCCAGGTGTGTTGGAGCTTGAGATACGAATTACAATAATTCATGTGGGACGGATGCCTTGACAGCCCCCCACATAACATGCCATTATAAAGCACCATCTGAAGCAAGTCTATGCTAATACAAGTTTGGCTCTTTTTTTTTTTTTCTGTTTGTGATTTACAGAGGGATTTTTATTGAGGGTCTTTCCTGTGTTCTGGATGGAGTATTTGGGACAGGGAATGGATCCACTTCTTCCAGCCCTAACATTGGTGTCTTGGGCATCACAAAGGTATGTGCTTTACCTTGATTACTCTGTGACTTAAGTATTTTATCTCCTGGTGTAGAGCTTATGCCATTTTCAAGTTTCACAGCATGATCCACTTCAAAAAAAAAACATACTACTTAGTACTTCATGCAGACAAACTTTACATGGCATTCTGAATTTACCTAGCTTGTCTGTACCAGCCACTGTTTAACAGAAATACAATCTAGATAAGGGCCTCAAAAATCTTATTTTTATTTGGCAGTTAGAAAACCTGCGTAAAGCAGATGATGCTAAATAAGCTATGCCTTTGAAAACCAGAAAGGTGTTCCAGAGCTCTAGAGTGTTTTAAGTTGAGGCGTAAACACTGTAAACTACACAGAAATCAATACTCTTTTGGATGTCCTGGCTCTGAAAGCATTGCTAGAGAACTGACTATTTTAAATGTCCCACTTTAACACACAATGAAATGCAACTTGAGGTCCTTGGGTCTTATCTACGTCTGTACTAGGACGTTACACTGACACAGCTAGAACAGGAGCTGCAGTCAAGGTAACTTTGAAATTAAAGGTACCCTAAATATTTGTTTCTGTCAGGTTTTTAAGGCACTGAGCAGATTTAGGGGATTACGTATTTTTTGGGGTGTTACTCAGCAAAATACATAAGCACTTGAGCGATTCCTGTGTTCACGTGCTGAACTGGATGTGTGCTTGAATGCCTTGCTGAACTGGGAGACCTTGGACTGCAGATAGATTTGCTTGATATTGTTAATTTAACCTTGTTGAGAAATACCAACAGAATTGGTGAGAGTAATTTATGTTGTAAATACGTAAAAGCTATAAATCTACTTCATGCATACAAGATAGAAAATCTATGCTCTCCACTTAAAATAACTCATCCTTCTGACTTAATCCAATATGTGGATTATGAATTTATCTTCAGCCATTTTTTTTTTTCTGCACAAAGGATGATTCTGTTTGGTTTTAGGGTGGAATATAAATACTAATAGCACCATCTGCTGTCTGTGTAAGTCTTCCATTCAGTTGCTGATGGAAATTTCCTAAAAGAAATTTTGGTTAGAAAAATCCTTAAAGAGGTTTATTGTGTTCTGCTCCCATTCTGTTGTTACTTCATAGAAGTTGATGTGAATTAACAGCACTTTTAATAATACTCCACAGAAATAAGTGTACATTTTGCTTTGGAGTGGCGAAAAATGAATGTTAAACTGACAGCTGTTACAGAGAACAGAGTTAACTACGGTTAGGTCTGTTCAGAGCTCGTGGTGGAAGAGTGAATATGCCTTATCCAGAATGGCACAGCTGGATGGCTGTGCTCCAGTGTTTGGTCTTGTCTCCCTGTCTGCACACTTATTCCTAAAACTGAATAGTTTTTCAACTTCAATTTATATCAAAATAGATTTTTGGCATGTAGTTACTCTGCTATTTATTTGGGAGGGGAAATCTTTAGTACTCCTCAGTAAAGACTACATAGTCCTGGTGATCCTGTTATACCAGTCCAACATTTGACAAGGCATTTACCTCCCTTGAAATCAGTATATGATTATGCTTAAAATTCAAATTTGAGGTTTCAACTGGATGTAAATAGTGCAAAGTCTTTGAGCTAGTCTGTAAGTTTTATTTGATGAGAGGAAAATCAATTAAATTTGATTAGCTGGGGCAAAAGTATAGGCAGCTTATGTCATAATGCTCATGATGAAATGGATACTCCATTCACTCCAGGGTACTAGGTACCATATCATGCACTCCAGAATAATCATGTAAAGCATGTGTACGAGTGCTTGGGGATAAATATGTAGTTTGAGCTAAGTGCTGGCCAGGATGCTTTCAGTAGCTCTCAAAAGGAGCTTCATTTGTTTGCCCTGTAGTGATTGAGCATTTGCATAAAGAAATGTTGCTGTTGTGCAGATTTTTTTATAGAATCTGCCTATTTCATGCGGGAAGATAATTTTAGAGAAAGATATTGGTTGTCCTAAGGAAATCAATATCTTTATAAAAAGCAGAGAAAGGTGCCAGCTAAGGTCTGTTGTTATTCTAGTGAACACCCTAATTTACTGGTATAGCTTCTGTTTGTAGGTGAACACATCACCTGACAGTTAAGCAGTGAAGAATATGGGGGGAAGAAGTACTTTGACACTAAACATGCCTACTGTATCTTTTTTTTTCTCATTTCATTCAGCTCAGTCACACATGATTAACAAGTTAATATCTACTTCTCTTTGAAGCTTGATTCTCTGTAACAGGAGACCTACAAAGGGCTTTGCTAGAAACCACCTTACCAGCGTAACGGGGCTTTTTTTTGGCCCTGGTACACTTCTTATGCAAGTGCAACACTACTAAAATATCAACCATTCAGGTTTATCAACTCCCACTGCAACAGAATGCCAGCAGAATACTGCCCGAAGTTTGAATGCTTGAAATAATAATGTGAAGGAAGTGCAGACACTTGGTTTCACCCTGTTAGCACAGCCATTATTTGCATATGAAGTGAGTTCAGTTCAGATCTCAGAGGGATGATAGAAAATCAATTGATAGTCTCTGTCTAGAAAGCCTGCATCTCCTTCAGGTGAACTGTGTGGTAGGTAACTAATACATATGTTCTTGTATAAAAGGGCAGCAACACATGGTTTGGTTTTTTCCCCCCCATTTGCAGTACAATTGATCCATTTGCCATCTCTCCTAATTATGGTCTATTTGTTTTCTTTACCGTAGATGGGACTGCACCACATTTCACAATTATTGTGGCTATAGCAGTTACAGGTGGTTTTAAAGATGACAATGTTAACAAAAACAAAATCGAACAAAGTTACGTTAGAATTTTGGAGTGCAGCCATGTTACAGCTGAGCTCTCCAAGACATTTATAAAGGCTTTGCAGCCTGTGTTTTAACACCACCAAAAAATACACATGGAAGCTTGAAAAGAAGTCTTACATACGAAAGAGAAAAGAAATAAAATGAAATGCAAGGCGTGAAGTGGGACTAAGTATGGACTTTTCCCAGTGTCCTTTCCTTTTTGTTCTCCTGCAGGTTGGAAGCCGCAGGGTTATTCAGTACGGAGCAGCCTTCATGCTCTTGCTTGGGATGGTTGGCAAGTTCAGTGCTCTCTTTGCCTCGCTGCCTGACCCCGTGCTTGGTGCCCTCTTCTGCACTCTCTTCGGTAACGTATGTTTTTTTGCTTCTCTTTGTGTACTGTGTGGCTCTACCTTTCTATTCTGGTTCCATGTTTATATGTGTGTTGCTCTCTTTTTTGAAGAAAAGGACTATATAAAAGCTAAGACTTGTTTTATTTGCTTTTAGGGATGATTACAGCCGTGGGTCTGTCTAACCTCCAGTTCATAGATTTAAATTCTTCTCGTAACCTGTTTGTACTTGGATTTTCCATTTTCTTTGGGCTTGTCCTTCCAAGCTATCTCAAACAAAATCCACTGGTCACAGGTATGTGTTTCTGCTCATTTACAGGAGGCATACTTTTACCTTGTACTCATATGCAAAGTACGTACAAGTACAAAGTAATGTAAAGGGTCAATAAGAGAAAAAAAAGTGTTATGGAGACAATAAAAGCTATAGATAAGAAGGCAGTTGTGTTCAGAGGAGAATTAATTGGGACGTTGAGACCTGAATCAGATATTTCAGTGGGGTACGTCTGAAGTTGTCCGGGTTTCTCTGGGTACAGTTGTAGAGCAATGGAAGGAGGCGATTGCCAGTTGGACTGGAAGGTGAATCAGTTGGACTAAAAAGGTGAATAGAGTTGTAAGTGATGTTAAAAGAAGAAGGTGAAATACCAAGGTAGAGCTTGAAAGCTAGCGATTTGTTGGGGGTTTTGAAATTTTTTGTGACTGCGAGCGTGTGTTCTGAATCTGAATTTTAATGAACTCTGTTTCAGCCCGTTAGCCAAATTATAGTTTTGATGAATTCATGGACAAGGCTTTCTATTTTAATGCTACCTTCTCAGTAGTGGTCATGACAGCGTATGTCATCAAAGGAGGACTCTTTACAGGAATACTTGTTTCATTTTGGTTTTATGTTTTGTTTTGTTTTTTTCTTTAAAGGATATATTAACTAACTTTATTGCTATCACTTCAGAACTAGATTTAAGAGCGTATCTAACCTACTTTAAGTTGTTCAGAAAAGTAGATCATCCAAGAAGAGTTAGGTGATGATCTATTGATACAGTGATCTTCAGTGAATTGGTGCTGTAAAGTCTTGCCCTTTTAAAAAGTAAAGGTTTATAAAAGAAATTATTTCAGTCCCCATGACTTTACATTGTGAACATTTCTCCTTTTCCATTTTGTAGTTTTCTATTTAGTTTAAATTCAGCAGTTGTATCTGCAGTAGAAACTAAAATGACATTTCATTACATTCTTATAAGTAACTGAAAGTTCATGGAGTTACATTTTGGGAAAGAAGGGCTCCCCATGGTGGAGTCCATCAGGTGAAGGTTCTTCTGCATCTATTCTCACATGGTTTTAAGAGTCCTATTTGAGCAAATTCCTCAGTAAACTCAGTAGCAAGTTTTCCTGGTTGATCTGCCTGTAAATCAGTAGGATGTGTATATGTATGATAAAAATTCAAATTCTAAATATTTTTTTTCCTGTTCTTCTAGGAATAGCAGGCATTGATCAAGTATTAAATGTTCTTCTCACTACAGCCATGTTTGTCGGTGGCTGCGTTGCATTCATTTTGGATAATACCATTCCAGGTCAGCATTTGAACTTGTCATTTTATCTGAAATAACAACAACTGCCTTTCTGAATGAAGATAGCACAGTGTTTCATGGAGGCAGGAGATGAGGAAGAGATTGCTGCTTTTGTTGTTGACTTCTTTAACGCCTAGAGCAGACTGCTTAACACTTGTGTGCCTCAGTTTCCTTGAGAATGCATTGAATCTTTTGCAGGTTAAGGTCGCCATCCTATAAACATATAAAATAGCTGATAAAAATCAAACCAGAATAGTCTTCTTCAGATGACAGAGTTAAAAGTATTTGTAAGATCCAAACATCCTTCCATTAATTTGAGAGGAGAAATTTGCCCTGGCTTCCAGTTGCAAATTAAACCAGATAATAGCCATTTCCAAAAACATTTTTTCCCCTCTGCCTGCCTCTTTGAGGAGACTAGAAGATCTTTCTAGTGCTTTGCTGAACGTGGTGTCTGAGACTTGGGGTTTTCTTTCTTCTTGTAAGCTCTACTATATATGTGTGTGTGTTCACAGAAGGATACTCATGTATATATATTTGTTTTCCCTTTTTTCTTTTATTTTGATTTCTAGGAAGCCCTGAAGAAAGGGGAATACGAAAATGGAAGAAGGGGGTTGGTAAAGGAAGCAAGTCACTGGATGGCATGGAAACATATGATTTGCCTTTTGGCATGAACTTCATTAAAAAATACAGGTGTTTCAGCTTCCTGCCCATCAGCCCTACCTTCCTGGGTTACACGTGGAAAGGCTTCAGGAAAAGCAGTAACTGCAGGAGTTCAGATGAAGACTCAGAAGCTACAGTATAGCCTTAGTTGAAATTATATTATCTAGTTGTAGTAAAAGATGTATTTGCAGTTTCTTGCTGATTAAGAAGCATTAAAATATATGTTTTGTATATCTGCATTTAAATTCTGGAACCAGAGCTGAGACGGATTTAAAAAAAAAAAAAAAAAAAAAAAGCTTTCCTGTTGTGGGTGGTGGTAGCCAGATCTAGTGTCTCTGGGTCAAATTTGCAAATGCTCCTCTGTTTGATTTTTCAAAAGCTATAGATACCTGCATACCTAAGTCTGTTTATTTGAAATGGGGCTTAGGTGCCGGAAGTATGTAGGTGCTATTGAAAAATGTTACATTTAGGGTGATTTTATTTAAGTCATTGATGCTGGCGTTTTTGGCGCATTCATTGCTGGCGATGTTAGTTACACCAGAAAACTGAATTATGTGAAGAGGGGCGGAAAAAAATGTTCTTCTAGTCATGTCAAATCCCTTATATACTGTCTTCTACTTACTGATTTGCACATTCCATATTTTCAGCCCCCTGGAAACCAGGCTCAGTTGATACTGGCAAATCATGGGAGTATTTTTTTGAATTACCGATAGTTCAGTGAGATGCCTAGTGTTAAGACAGAAAGTTTCTGTAGTAACTTTGCCGACGAAAACTATGACCGACTTTTGATAGTTGAGTGCTGTAGAAGGAACCACTCATTTCATATCAGTTTGCATTTTTAAACGTGTGGTTTTTCTGCCTGCCATTTAACCACCTAATTATGGTATCCAGGTGCAGGTTTTCTTTAAAGGGACACGTGTAGCTTGTGTTTCACAGAGATGGGAAACTTCTGACTTCCAGGTAGGACCTGATAACAGTTTTTTACAGTGCAGTGCCTGTACCCAGCAAGACGTTTCCTGGACAAAAATGAGAATTTGTTGAGCAGTTCTAAGCAGTTAGCAGCTGTATGCATGCAGATTTCTTTCCCTGCAGGGGAAGCTGTGCGGTCACAGCGCTGCCGGCATTCACTGGTTTGGATCAGTGCAGAATTTTCTTGATAGGATATCAAGAGCCTATGGTGCCCATGAGCAGCTCGTGCTGCATTGCCTCTTTTTCTGCTCTCTTGGTGGGGCTTCTCGTTACTGCAGCAGGAGGGGGTCTTGAACGGCAGAGACACTACATTTGATGTCCTCATCCACTGGATGGTTTAACGGGTATTGGGTCCAATCAGGGCACCATTCAGATTTTTTTTTTTTCCTGGAATAGTCTCAGCTCTGATGTTATGTGGGTGTTCATGCTCATCATGCATTCATAATTAAAAGTTTTATTCATGTTTAATGTTCTTACTATTGCAAGTTAGTTTTAGACTTCAGTGTGGCCCCAAAAGCATTTTTAAGCTGTGGAGATCATCAGGGAAATGTAGTGTAATGTAATTTCAAGGCCAGTATGCTCTACGGTGCTTGCGTTTTGTATTCCTGGAAAAAGCATAACAGTAGATCCTGTAATTCACTAATATATTTATCGAAGTTTGACTACTGGACAGGAGCACAGGAACTCTGTTTTCTCTGAGTCTACTTCCAGGTGAATTTGTTATTGGTTATTGAAGCATGGAAGGGTTGGGGTGGGGAGGGCAAGGAAGGAGCTTAACGGATCAGTACTCAATAGTGTAGAGTCGGAATGATTCTGTTGATATCGTTCTCAGCATGCCATGGCTGTTTCCAGAAACTATTTTATACCGCTTTTTCCATAACGAAGCATGTGTTTGTTCCTGCTTCAGGGAACCTTCAGTAGTTTGCAGTCTTGGTGTCAATTGGACTATCTCGAAAGCTGGTCGGAAGAGTTATTGTGTAGTAGACAAGGTTAGTTTGCCTGTGAAACAAAGTCATTTTTATAATTTTTAAATTTTTCCTCTTCAGGTAGTGAGCTGTTAGATTTCTACATCCACTTGCAGATAGTTTTGAGTGCGGAGACCTCTAATCAGTGGCACGAAGCTTCCAAATTTCCCAACTTTTATGTGCAACCAAAGATGTGTGGGAGACATGGGAGAGTTAAATATATATATATGTATATATATATGTGTGTGTGTGTATATATATATATATATATATATATATATAAAAAAGGAAAAAAAAAAAAAAAGCCACCTATGTACCGTGGTTGTAATGATGTAAAATGCCAAAGTTGGTTATCTTACAAATGTTGAGAAAGGGGAGGCAAAAGTGTCTTATTTAAAACGGTGCCACCTCAAAAATATTGAAATGTCAAGTCCGGTGATGCTGCTGGGCACAGGATGCAGCAGTGACACCTGTGTCCTGAGCCTTTTCTAACTTCTCCCCCCCCCCCCCCAAATATTCTTTGATAACTTAAACACGTACGCACTGAAGAGACAAGGCGATGAGAAGGAGCATGTCTTCTCTCCCCTTTGGCTGAAGTAAAGCTGTGCGTGTTCTGTATTGCCTTCACTTGAGAATTGCCAAGACACTTCAGTCAAATTACAGGGCAGTGAATCCAAGGATATTTTTTTCTTCTCCCCGGAGCAGAACACCACCCCTTTCTTGCAGTGTAGGAAAGACTGTCCAGATAGGTGAAGTCCAGTTTCTCTGTTTTAACTGTTGGATTTAACGCTTTTTGTGACTTTGGGTCCTACTGTACCGGTTCTGTTGACTGGCTGAGAGAAGTGCAGTGGCGTTTGGCCGGCATGTTTGCTTTTCTAGCCACTTATCTTGGTAACACTAAAATAAGTAGATGTAGTTAGCCGTCATTTTTGTAACCAAATTTGTATATGTACCAACTCTCTCCACCTTCTTAGGAACACGAATGGTTAAAGGTGAGCCAAGGCGATCTGCTGAGGCACCTGTGATGTATAGCGAGGGGGTGGCTGCAGCACCTTGAGGTAGAGGGCACGGAGCTGATGCGCAGGCGCCTCGGGAAGAGGAGCTCCCCCTTCCCCTCCCGATGCACCTGAAGCTGTCCCTCAGCTGCCAGGGGAAGAAGAGGCGTTGCTTTTCTTTGAGAGGGAAGCAGCTCTGCGTTGGCCCTGGTTTTGTGCGGTCATGGCAGGCGATCGCGGGCCGTAAATCCTCCTCCCCCGGCTCAGAGGCTGCGGTGGGGCTCAGGGCCCTGGCCGGGGGAGCGCGGCACGCAGCCGGAGCTGCTGCGCCGTGTGGTGCAGAGGATTAACGTGCAGGTTTGAAAAGCTTTTAAACACTTCGTGTTTGCTGGCTACGCCCAGGCTGTGACGCAGAAGGGTGGCTGGATATAGAAATCTGACTGCAAATGCAATACTCCGTTTTTCCTATCTGTGTTACTGCCTGCCTTTCAAACAGCTAAACTGATCAAAACCACTTAGGGAAGACGACACCTGAGATGAGTTAAGAGGCAATGAGATGTTTCAACCAAACTTTAAGACGGAAGGGCAAATATTCATGGTAGAAATATCATTTTGTCATATCAAAGATGGTATCAGTGTATGCAAAACAAAACAACTTGGGACTTTTGTAGTTGATACTATTGTACTTTTTTTTTTAGGTTAAATTAAGGATTCTTGCTAACATGTTGAAACACGTTTTCTAAAGCAAATACTTGCAAATTATACCTATAGAAATTTATGTTTCATAGCTAACAGCTGTGACTGATTAATGTTGTCATATTAGAGTGCATTGACAGAGGAACTTAATCAGGTACCTCTCTCAGAAAGTTCAAACTTTAAACCCAGAATTTGCTTTACGCCTTTTAATACTGACTTTAAATATGGCAACTTGGTTTGTACATGAATATTGCAGTATTTTATTTCCATATATTAAAAATAACATTTCCACTCAGGATAATGGTCGCAGTTTTCCTGAGAGGGAGTGGTATGATTGTCATGACAATGTCATGTGATGGTAGAATTTCTTCATTGACGAATCTATAGTAGTTGTGTATACTTTATTTCCCATGTTTATGTTCCTACCAAAAACTAAAGGGTTTCTTTATTGTTCATCTCCCTACTGAGATCTTGGTACTCCCGATGCAGAATTGGCGCTTGCAAACTGAAATCCTCAGTACTATTTATACCACAAGGAGCGTCAGTGAGTGCGACCGGTCATTTGTAGCATTGCATCCTTAATATAAAAAAGCGTTGAAAACCACGTCGTTCGTGGTACAAACAGCACTCCGGGCACACGTGGTTTAAAATAGCCGGCTTCTAGTGGTTTGAGTGAGCCATTGGATGCTTACGCACAACCTCTGCTTAACATCATTTGTGTATCCATGTAGAAAATGCATGTGACAGACCAGCACAACCTGTGGTGTTTCTTTTATGTGGCCTTCTTAAACCAAAAGCAACTTTTTTTTTTTCTTTTTTCTTTTTTTTTTTTTTAAAGGGGGGAGGGAGTTGTGGGTCACTCATATTTGCAGAAAATGTCCCACTCGGTGCATGGTTCTTAGTATTTCCTGGGGCGAGTGGCCGCTGGGGCCATGGGCTGACAGGTCCTCTGTGCTCTCACGCTGGCAGAGCTGCGCTGGGTCGTTGCAGCGGTGGAGGAGGCCACGAGGTCGCCGGGGTTTCGCTTCTGCCCGTGACTCGAGACAGCGTAGTGCTGGGCTGCTTTTTGTATCGGGGATCCGCGTTCAGAGCCATCCAAAATATTCCTGTCTAGTTCTGATTTGACTGTGACTGTGCATTGTCATCCGTACATATTGATATGAGAGATATATTTAGAATTGCCTTGTGTACTATCTGGCATTTACTACATCTTTCCAGGTAAATCATCTTGCTGCCAGTCCAAATTATTGTACTTTGTCTGTTTATAACAACCTTTGGCGTAACAAACTATTGACTGTTCTTAGGCAGTGGGGATAAATATTTTTTTTCCATGACTTTTTGTGACTGACTTTGGCTGTAAAACTTTTTTGTTAAACAGCAAGAGGTTTTCTGTTTTGTTTTGGTTTTGATTTTTTTTTTTTTTTTTTGTTCTGAGAGGTGTAATTCTTTTATGGAGGGTTGTTTTTTTTTATTTCATATTTTTTTCTAACATTGCTTCATTAAACAATTAAATATTTAAAAATGTAATATTTGGACCAGATGTTGTGAATAATAGTAGATAAAGCTATTTTATTCTGTATTTTTAAAGCTGTTCAGTATAAATAAACGCGGGCATAGATGCATCTTGGCAGTGTGGTGTTACACTTCCTTTTAAACATCCCCTTCGAAGGTGAATCAGTGGTTTGGGAATCCAAAGACCAGGCACCTCTTTGTCGCAGATTCAGTTTCCTTGAGCTCTTTGGCAGAGGCACTGCTGTCTGTCCGTACCTCTTACTTGCTGTCTGTCCCTGGTTTTGGTTGTGGCAGCTCCAAGACCCATCCCCCTAGCACCCCGTGCCCCTCAGGGAGCAAAACTCCCTGTAAAACCAGTTTGCACGGTCAGCACTTACGTGTTCTGGGTGATGTCCATGCAGCAAAACTTAGGTGACTCATTTCCTAACTAAAATAAAAAGAACAATCTTCAAGTCCTCTTAGGACGCCGAGCAGAGGCTTTGAGTTACTCTGTCCGGGTGAGACCGAGCAGCGAGATTTCCCAGCAGAGAAATAACCTGGTTTAGGGTAAAGCCCTGGATTTGGGCATTTGGCCATCCGTAGCCAAAGCGAAGCCTCCCGGGCCCCTCGCCAGGGCTGCGGCGTGCCCACAGCGGGGCACAGGGGATTTGGGAGATGTCCTGTCCCTCCTCTGCAGCGTGTAAAGGTAAATTAGCCAAGTGTCACCTTGCCTCATCGCCAGCATTTAAGAAGAAGGAAGCTGCCTAGCACCTTGCCTGCTCCCCAACCAATTAATGAACTTGTTTGTTTTATCTGGAGCTGAACTATTAAATTTTTGATGTTAGCCTGGAGCACCAGGGATGTGCAGGAGTTGCCTCCGGTGAATTGGGACCTGGAAAAGTCTGGCTGAGGACACACAGCACCTTTCGATGCCTGTCAGCCTTCAAGGTGTCTGAGCTACTATTGATTTTAGGGGGAATTAAGACCCCCAGGTATTTTTCTTAATTTAGGCATAGCCCACTGTGACTAGTCCAAAAACTGTAGCCAGATGGGAAGAAAAATGACAAAAAGTCACCTGAATCGACAGCGAGAGGGGTGTGAAAGTAGATCTGGTATCAAAGCTGGTGGAGCAGCTGTGGGACCAGGGTGGGGGATTCCTGATTGTTCCTGAGCTGGGCTGGGTTCAGGTCAGGGATGAAAACAGCTCTGATAATCCTGATTAATCCTTCGTGCTACTGGGTCAGAGCTCTGGAAATAATTGTGTTTTCTCCTTATGTCTTGCCCGAATCAAAATTCAGCATCAGCTGCATCAGCACAATGAGAAGGGCTTTATCCCAGGCAGAATCTCAAAACCTGAGGATTTTCAGAATGACTGAAACATCCTCAAATGGGGGCAACATGTGTTTCTTTGAAGCACAGCCGCTAGGTACAAGCAAAGACCTTTCAAGAGCCACGGCCCCTTCCCCTCTGCATAACGGTTATCGGATGCTCCTAAACTAACGTGTATCCAAATGTGCAATAGTTTGGTATTTGACGGTCTTAAAGTTGAAATAATGGGAAACTGCTGGGGTGCGAAAGAGATAGTTAGATGTCTGAGGGGGAAGTACTTCAATTTTGGAGAATTTCAGAGCTGGTGCTTTATGCTTGGGTCTGACAGGGCCCTGAGCTCCGGGCTCAGTTATGGGAGTGGAAGCGAGTAAATCCATTAAAGTTTAAAAGGCATCAACCGCATTCCCTGAGTGACATTTAGCACAGAAACGCTGATTTAACCCGCAAAACGGGTGCCGTAACATCCCTGTGCAGCAAAACGCAGGCTCTGACTTCGGAGCACCCTTTTCCTGGGAGATTTTCAGCAGCTGGGAGGGATGCTCGCGGGCAGAAGCTTTTGGTCTCCTTCCAAGTGGGTTTGGTTCCTCGGATTTGCACTCACAGCCGCTGTGCGGGTGAGGAGCTGGCAGCCCGTCCCCGTAAGGCAGGAGTGGGTCAAATTCCTTTTATTTGGCAAATAAATGTTTCCATTTCCATCCAGGCTCAATCCTTCCTGACCCACCACGTGTGCGTTGAAGGCAATGAGCAGGATGTCGCAAAATCAGGATTTAACCCCAGTTCTGCAACCAAGTTCCTCCTTGTGCTTGTGCAGGTGCCTGCAGTAAAACCCTCTATTTACTTTTTTTTTTTTTTTTTTTTTTTTTTTTCTTCCCCTTTTGCTCTGATTGCACCCACCACGCAATCTAGGGGATATGGTAGGAACTTTCCCTCTCTTTGGGGCTAAATCCCTGCGGTTTGGGGCTGGGGTTTGCAGAGCGTGGGCAGCCGGGGCCGGCTCGGCTCCATTGTGCAGCACGGCCGGGTTCTCCCCGCGACAAAGGGCCTCTCATCTCCGCCAGCCCTCGAAGATGCTGCTGGAATATAAATACTAACCCCCAGCCCGGCTGGCTTTTGCCGAGTCAGTGTTTCCCCAAGCCAGATGGCTCCTCCTGAACTTCTCATATTTTACATACAAATCAAAAAAAAAAAAAAAAAAAAAAGGAAAATAAAAGGCTGATTACAATCCCTGGTTGTAAAGACTTGCCTGTTTTGCTAAAGCAGCTGTTTAGATTATTTCTTTGTTTTTAGTTTTGGTTTTGTCTTTTTTTTTTTTCCCCTTCGTGTGGGCTGTTTCTAGGCAAATTCCTTAAAAAGAAAAAAACCCTGGAGAAGCCACAAAGCTCTGAGAAAGGTCAGGAGCAGACAAAGGCAGAGGGACACGGCTGCACGCCGCTGCTCTTCTGGAATACTTGATACCTCCACGCTCCCCCAGACTCTCCCGCAGCGCTGCGGGGTGCGCGGGCAGGATGGGACCCGCAGCCCGGGAGCAGAGGCTGGAGGCTGAGCACCATTTCAGACATAACCGTGACCTCAGGCTGCAACTTCTGCTTCCAGGGAGATTTAAAAAAGATTTATTTCCTCTTCAATCCCCTTTTCAGGGTCGGTTTTGGGCCCAGGGAGGATCCCACAGCCGTGGTTGGGAAGCGGTTGCTGCCAGCGCACGGCCCTGTTGCACCGTCCCAAAGGCAGAGCAGCAAAGTGTGATGCCAGCGCGGCTCTGGCACTGAATATCACAACGTTTGGGGCATTTTAAGGCAGAAATAAGCACTTTCGCCTGGGTGATGCAGCCCACAGGAAGTCCTGCACAGAGCTGGAGCTGATGGTAGGAGCATTTCCAACCCGGTGCTGTAGGATGGGGCAAAACCTTTGGGATCCTGGTCCTGGGGTGTCCTTTGAGATCCCAGGCCCAGAGCCTGAAGCACGGGTTTGAGCTGGAGCATCCTCCGGGATCCCACTCCCGGGGGGGACAAACCGGGTGCCCGAGGGAGGGCGTCCTCCGGGGGATCCCCAGTCCGGGCACCCGGGAAGGGGGTGTCCCTCGGGACCCCGGTGCCGGGGTGAGCCCGAGGTGCTGGAGCGGGGTGGCCCCCGGGATTTCAGCACCGCTATCCCTGCGCGTATCCTCCGCCCCGCTCCGCCCCGCTCCGCCCCGTTCCGCCCCGCCGAGGGGCGGCCCTAGGCGGGGCGCCGGCTGCGGAGCGGCGCGGAGCGGGACCCGGTGAGTGCGGGCGGGACGGGGCATCCTCATCCTCATCCTCATACCCACCCCCATCCTCATCCTCAGCCCCGTCTCCATCCCCATCCCCGGCGCGGCGGGGGAGCAGCCCCAGGGCTGAGCCGGAGCTACCCGGGAGCCCCGCGGAGGGCTGAGCCCACCCTCGGGGCGGGGGGGTGGGGTGGGGGGGAATCCAGCCCCCCCACGCCCCAGGGGTGTCAGCTCTGCACCCAACGAGCATCCTCGTCCTCAGCATCACCCCCTCTTTTGCGGCTGCCTGCTCTCGCAGGCTGGGAGGAAGCCACAAGCACCCACAGACCGCCCCCCCCCAGGTCACAGACACCTTCCCTGCAGCCCCCATCGCACCCGGGCTGGAGACCCACCAGCTCCTTTCCCGTAGCCCACAACAAGCTGTTGTTGGCCACCAGCTCTGCTCGGGGGGGGGGGGGGGGGTCTGACCTGCTGAGTGTGGGCAATGGGTCCCCTCACTTGTCCCCAAGTGAGCCTGGCACCCGGGTGGCATCACCCACCGGTGGCTCTGCCACCGCTCACCGCTCCCCTCTCCTTTCCCCTTTGCAGGACGGGGCTGAGCAACTGGAACAATAGCGGCGCTGGAAAACAATGGAGCTGCTGCACCTTCGCGCTTAGGGACGCTGGCCGGACGCTGGGAAGAAATCCCAGCTCCAAAATCACGCCTGGGCCAAAGGCACGGCTGCACCAGCTCGCAGGAGCCGTCCACTGAGCACCACCGGTCACGTCAAGGATCTGCCAGGACGGGGTGAGAGCACTTGGTCGTACCCCACCGCTGAGCAAAGCAGCTCGGAGAGGCTCTCGGTGCCTGGATGGGAGGAATTGTCGCCTCCGGATGATGCTTTGCTACTGATTGCATTGGGATTGACGCGCCGTTGGGACGGTTAAAAGCCGCCCTGGGCTGCAGGGAAGCGGCAGGGCTTGTGCAGGAGGGAGCACTACGGCCTCCCCGGGGAACGGGATATTCCCACAATCCCTCGCACGGCCGGGGGGGAAGCATCAGCTGCACCAAAAGCACATCTCCCGCCTGAGTGGGGAGATGTCGACGCGGCAGTGGGGATGCTGCTGAAACATGCCATGGGAGGGGACTAAGAAAGCAAAAACACCCTAAAAAATGCTCCTTGCTTTGCAGGAGCAGGGAAGACCACCCCTTCCTGCTGAAAACACTATCTTGGAGGGGGGGGTGTTCTATTTTTTTTTCTATTTTTTTTTTTTTTGTATTTGAGCTGTGCATTTCCTTGAAAGCTCAGCAAAAGTGAGCACTCATCCCTGCTCCGTTTAAGGGGCTGTGAGTGTGGCCAGGCTCCCTCTGCACCGTGGAACAGATGAGGCTGTAAGGATCCAGGGAAGGGTGTTAGGAAGGTTATTTTTAGGGAGCAGAATAAGTCTGGGGTCTGTCGGGCCTGACTGTGGGAGCAGCTGACGGCTCGTGTTGGAAGGTAGTGAGGGCTGAAATCCTCCTGCCACGTGTGCAGGGGGAATTGGTTCGATCTGATGTTCTTTTAAAAGTGCTTTGCA